TCCATGGTCAAAGACCGTGATCTGTCCAATCAGAACATAGCATGTCATAACAGGTCAGGAACAAAAGACCATGAATGCACCAATGTCCAATGAACTGTGATCGACCGACTGGTTAAATATAAATATATGCAGATCTGACCCTCACAACAACAACGCAGCAGCAGAGTCTTAAGAAAAGTCTGATTCAGCAAAGCTTAAAATAATTCAGCAGCTTCGTCTTTGTCAGACGTAAGAGGCGCAGAGAAGATTACCTTGCTTACGCCGGGCGTCCCATGTGTTCCAATTCGATATGGTTTCTCTGTGATATATCTCTCTTGTCTTCATGTGATGGTTATTTAAAGGGAAAGCCATGGATTTTCTCCCCCCATATAACATAATGGCAAATCAATAACCCGGGCCATACGAGGAGAGCGGGCTTTTCGTAGCAGGCCTAAAGGATGGGAGGGCAAATTGAACCGGAGTCTGGGTGAAAAAAAAGGGGAGAGATGGATTTTAAAACAACATTATAAAAAACAGCTGATTAATCATTCTTGTCCTTTATGGAGATGAATGTAAAAAAATGTGTCGTCATCATAGTGTCAGGAGGAACTTGTATTCCACCAACGCAGTCTGTTCTGTTCCATTTCCTTGTCTCCCGTCTGGAGTTGGATTGCAGCTGTGGATGGGTGTGTTTGTGTGTTTGTGCACACATGTGGTACATGTGTGTGAGAGTACCACTGTGCCTGCGAGGGTCCCCTGTGTTGTGGGCGACACACATACACACACATGCACACACATCCGTGTGCATTTACAGTAAGTGTGTTTTACCCACGGCAGAACTTGTCAGCCAGCAGACGTCTGACATCATGCTGTGGGCTGGTTATTCACTGCAGTGTGTTTGCATGTGTGTGTAAGATGAGGGGGGCGGGGGGGGCAGCCTGGAGGGAAAGGAGGAAGATGGTAGTTATCATGACTTATAGACTGGACAGCTGTTTCCTACTGGGCATGGAATATAGGAACCTTACTCAGAGGAATGGTTTAAATGAAGAGGGATGAAGGAAGGAATCAAAGACAACAAGGAAATGAGTCTAACATGACCAAAAAGACCTACGAAAACACAGATGTCACGCGGCAAAAATGCCCGGAGGCCTCAATGTACACTTTCCGTCCTGTCTGTCTGTCACCGACGCCGGTGTCGTCCTCATTTCTGACACTCGTGGCATTCCCTGAGCCCCCCACCCCCGCCCCCCCGACCGACCCGGCCGCGGCAGCCGCGGCAGCAGCAGCAGCAGCAGCAGCAGCAGGGAGAGCAGAGGATTGGCAGAAAATCCTGCTTAATCATTGCCACCGTCGCTGCCACCGTCGATAGCCTCTGGATATGAAAGAATCCAGAGGCCGTGGGCGGGAAAATCAGAGAGTGACACTCCACATCCAGATATGGTAACAGCTGAAGTAACGCTTCGTGACTGTCGGCTCTACTCACGCTCCCACACTGACAAAGGAAAGGTTGTCTGCCTTGTGCACCGAAGTTGGAGAGCTCTTGTGAAGGCGAAGCCCTCGCCAGACTCCTTGGGTCGAGGCCGGGGCTGGTTTCTTTTTTTTTTAAAAAGCCTCCTTTGTGTCGGTGCAGCCCGAGGAGAGCGGAGCTGGGGATCACACTAACAAGCTGTCAGTGTGATCCTGTCTCCTCAGTGTGAACACAATCACATCAAAACTAATGAGCCTCTGATTCATGTCATCGCTAATCAGTGAGGCTGGAAATATACAAACATTTCTGCACAAGAAGAGCTGAAAATAGACCGTTGTCCAAACAAAGACAGAAAAAAATCAAATGGACAACTGGACAAACGATGATCCTCTGTACATATAGATGTGGAGTGTGTACATTATGTGTGTGTGTGTGTGAGAGAGAGAGAGAGAGACATTTTTTAAATGTATTTAAAATTATTGACTAAAAATATTGAACATAAGACTTAAAATAGTCTTGTGTTCAATATTTTTTAAATTTGAAATTTCTTATATTTCTTATTACTATTATTTTGAGAAATGACCTGAATTCTTTCCACTATTTTCTGATGGAAGCACCACTTGTAGAAATTTACATTTAGGATATTTGTACAAATATTATTTAATTTCAGAGATTGTAGAGATTCAAATTTTCATTTTGTCATTTCGACCTTCGTGTCCCTCTCTACTCTCTAAGTTGTCCTTCAGGCATAAATAAAGTTTTGACAATCTGAAGTTTGAATCTGTTGTTGTTTGTTTCTTCAGGACATTTTTCTAAAACTGTTCCTCATTGTTTTACGAC